CCGATACAGTCATCAATGTAACGGAGGAAGAGGTGGGGTTTAGGGCCGGTGTAGGTACGGAAGAGGGATTGTTCCACGTAACCTACAAAGAGGCAGGCGTAGCTTGGGCCCATGCGGGTACCCATGGCTACCCCCTTTGTCTGTAGGAAGTGGGAGGAATTGAAAGAGAAGTTGTTGAGTGTGAGGACGAGTTCGGCTAAGCGGATGAGGGTGTCAGTGGAGGGGGACTGGTCGGGCCTGCGGGACAGGAAGAAGCGGAGGGCCTTAAGGCCATCTGCATGGGGAATGCAGGTGTAGAGGGACTGGACGTCCATGGTAAAGATGAGGTGTTGGGGACCGGGGAATTGGAAGTTCTGGAGGAGGTGGAGGGCGTGGGTGGTGTCACGGACATAGGTAGGGAGTTCCTGGACCAAGGGGGAGAAAATGGAGTCGAGATAGTTGGAGATCAGTTCGGTGGGGCAGGAGCAGGCGGAGACAATGGGTCGACCAGGGCATTCAGGTTTGTGGATTTTGGGAAGGAGATAGAAGCGGGCAGTGCGAGGTTGGGGAACGATGAGGTTGGAGGCCGTGGGTGGGAGGTCACCTGAGGTGATGAGGTTGTGGATGGTTTGCGAGATGATGGTTTGGTGCTCAGGGGTGGGGTCATGATCAAGGGGGCGGTAGGAGGAGGTGTCGGAGAGTTGGCGTCCGGCCTGGGCGATGTATTGTAGAAGCCCTTTGAACAATGCAGTACAGGGTCACACCCAACAGAACAATTACCGTGGCAACATAAAAACAGCAAATCTGAAAATCCTCAACAGTAACTGGGGACAAAAATGCAGCCTCACAATTTTCACATGAACACCAAGAGACAAGATTCTTTTCAAAAAACAAAAGCTAGCAGAAAAATCAAAGCAGTAAATAATTGGAGCTGGATACTAGTTGGGCAGTACGGTTAGAATTTGATGCCAGACTTGGATCACATCTCCCTATCCCCCAGAACACCCCATACACTACTTTCAATTTGAGATCCCTCTGTGGTGGGCAGTATGTTCATTGCATGACAATGGCAGAGGTGGAGGTTCAACTAGCAACAGCATCAGTCACAGAACATTTAGCAGGTTTTGTCCACCTCCCACTCTCTTCCTATTTATTTCAGAACCCCCTTCCCCTCCCCCTTTTCTGATGAAGGGTCTAGGCCCGAAACGTCAGCCTCTCTGCTCCTATGATGCTGCTTGGCCTGCTGTGTTCATCCAGTCCTGCACCTTGTTGTCTCGGATTCACCAGCATCTGCAGTTCCAACTATCTTTGTCTTGTCAAGCAACTTTAGGAAAAATTCAGCCTCTCTCTCAAAAAAGTAAGATTCCATTCTTCAGTCAAGAACTGCAAATGAGTGCCAAGGATCTCCTTCCAATTTTCTGGGTCTCTCCTATCACAGAGCTGCCACTCAGCAAGTGCTGTACCTGGAAAAGGTGCTTCACCAGATCTCAAACTCATGGACTCAGCACCAGAATTGAGAAGATGCAGTCTAAAGTCTCAATCTGCTAACAGCAGTGATACTCAACAATTTCTTTTCAGTCTTTGGTGACTATTCTTTGAAAACTTTCCTTGAATATAAAGCAGAGGTAAAAGCCAACCGTTGCTCATTTCAATTGCAAATTGAAGAAAAAAATTCAAACTGAAGTAAAGTTCTTCAACTACCTCAGTTAATGCAAATTTCAATGTAGGAGCTACTAATAAAATCTTTCAAGGCCAGTAATTATACCCGTAACCACCATTTCCTCAGCAAGTTCATTCCACACGCAAACTGCCTTCTGTGTAAAAAATTTGTCTCATGTCTTTTTTAAAATCTCTTTCTTCTCACCTTAAAAATGTGTTTCCTAGTCTTGAAATTCCTCATCTTAGGGAAAAAGACAACTACTATCAACTCTACCTATTTCTCATGATTTTATAAACTTCTATCCGGTCTCCTCTCAACCTCCTATGTTCCAGTGAAAAAAGTCCCAGCCTATCCTTATAACTCAAGCCTTCCATACTGGCAACATCCTGGTAAATCGTTTCTGAACCTTCTCCAGCTTAATAATATCCTCCCTGTAACTGGGAGACCAGAACTGGACACAGTACTCCAGATGAGGCCTCACCAATGTCCTGTACAACGTCAATGTGATGTCCCAACTCCTACACTCAAAGGACTGAGCTATGAAGGCAAGAGTGCCAAGTGCCTTTTTAAACACCCTGTCCATGTGTGACACAAACTTTGAAGAATTATGTACTTGCACCCCAGGTCTCTCTGTTCGACAACACTACCAAAGGCCCTACCATTAATTTTATAAGCCCTACCCTTGTTTGTTGCACCAAAATGCAACAATTGGAAAACCTCAAGTGCAATGCCTTGCATGAATTCACAAATAACAAAAAGGGCACAGCGCTAAGAAAGCTGGGGCAATTAAAGGAAGTGATTAGGTGCTGGTACAGAAGTGTCTACTCCCTTTTGAAGTAGGCAAAGGGGAAAAATAAAATGTGCGTTGTAAGACGGTGAGAATAACTCTTTCACAGATGTTAAAAAGGGGGGAGTTTTTAAAACATCCACATCCCCATATATGAAATAGTTCTCCACCACTGTGATCCAAATTAACCAGAACAGTTTAACAAAGAAACAGGATTGATAAATCCGATTCACTGCAAATCACAAACAGCACCCTTCATTTTATCAATGGCGGGTACAAGAGTTCACTTACTCTCCTACCAGAAAAAAAGAAGACAGTCCGGTTAGCCATCTTTCTGTGTAACTTGATAGTCTTTTTTTAAAAAAAGACTTTCAGTAGATAAGAATGCGACGACAAACAATGAGACTAAGTGCCATCAAACCAAATCTTTAATCCTTCCAACACCGAACTTTAGTTTAAAAAAATAGCTAGTACGCTGCCCTTGCTTCTGATTGCCCCCAAATACCTACTCAATATTTGCAGGAAAAAAAATTACACCCTGTAGAAAATTCATCAAATTAATTTCTCCCATACTTTTGAAATAAAATGCTCAGTCCCTCCTCTAACATGTTTAAAGTTAATTTTCAGTATAATCTTTAAAACAATGACAGATATCGTGGTACAGAGACAGAAATTAGTCTTTTTTAATCAATCCTTCTTCATTCCAAAAGCTTAAAAAAATTCAAACGTGCAAATAAAACAAAATACTCACTTTATACGGGAGAACCACTTTAGTGCCATTAATGGAAGTTTTATTTTTTAAAAAAATACAGATGCCTCTTGATATAAGAACAGTCTCCCTTGCAGCCGCTCTACTTTCTGAACCGTTTGCGCCAATTGTGCGAGGTTGAAATCAAAGTTTTATTGCGAACTCGTCTATTTGGGAGCGCTAATCAAAATAAAACCTCACCGACCGGTTAGATACACTGTCCAGCCTACGGCTGTTACGACCAAATGGTTCAATCTTTGTGGAAGGAACTAACAACAGCGAATACAGATCAGCAACGAAGTCTAAATTTTTTTTAAAAGAAACGATTATGTTGTGAGTTTTCTTTTGGAGCTTTGTTCGTCTATAAAAACGTCGACCTCGTGACTGAAAATAAAGTTACGTCTGGTATATTTCACCCCACTTTTAACTAAAAGTGGGGTGAAATTTACCAGACGTAACTTTAACAAACGTTAAAAGTAACTACGTTGTGATGTTATAACAAAGTGAGGAGCGGGATGAAGACAGCATGCCAAGTAGCATCAGAGGAGCAGGAAAGCTGACGTTTCGGGGCTTATGTTTACCTGTTTTAGGTTGTATCAGCTGGCTCAGGTATGTGTATGCGTGTGGAGGTATTTGAAATAAAAACAGTGCTGAAGAAACTCAACAGATCTAGTGCAGAGAGAATATTTAATGCTTCCAGCCCAGTATGGCTGTTCTTCAGCGCCAGAAATGATTTAAACTTCACGTCAGAGCTTAATCCATTCATCCTTTACACCAATCTCCCTGATTCTAACTGTCCCATTGCTTAAGGCCGAAAAGCTGCTGGTTTTCCACATCTGAGTATTACAGACTGATTCCAAGGTCCAGAACTACTATTGGGGAACAAACTAAAGCAATGCTTTTTGGGCCTTTACCATCTGTGACACCATTTCAAGGCTTAGAAATTGTCAACAACCCCTCATTGAGGATGATTGGAGTCAATTGTTGAAGTTGGCACTCCCACTTTGACCCTCAATCACTGTTTTTGGAAGCCCTGCACTAAAGCATAGGGCCAGCCTTTGGGGAGTTGGTTAGCTTGAATGGCTGGTTTGCAATGCGGAGTGCTGCCAACAGTGTGTCTGAAAGTCTGCAGAGGGTTATAGATAGGCTAAGTGAGTGGGCAAAGGTCTGGCAGATGGAGTACAATATTGATAAGTGTGAGGTCATCCATTTTGGTAGGAATAACAGCAAAATGGACGACGTTTTAAATGGTAAAAAATTGCAGCACGCTGCTGTACAGAGGGACTTGGGCGTCCTTGTGCATGAATCTAAAAGTAGGATTGCAGGTGCAGCAGGTAATTAAAAAGGCAAATAGAATTTTGTCTGTCATTGCTAGAGGGATGGAGTTTAAAAACAGGGAGGCTATGCTGCAGCTGTATAGGGTCCTGGTGAGGCCACACCTGGAGTACTGTGTGCAGTTTTGGTCTCCTTACTTGAGAAGAGATATACTAGCACTGGAGGGGGTGCAGAGGAGATTCACTCTGTTGATTCCAGAATTGAGAGGGTGGGATTATGAGGAGAGACTGAGTAGACTGGGATTATACTCATTGGAATTCAGAAGAATGAGGGGAGATCTTATAGAAACATATAAGATTATGAAGGGAATAGATAAGGTGGAGGCAGGGAGGTTGTTTCCGCTAGCAGGTGAAACTAGGACTAGAGTGCATCACCTCAAAATAAAGGGAAGCAGATGTAGGACTGAGGTCAGGAGGAACTTCTTCACCCAAAGGGTTGTGAATCTGTGGAATTCTCTGCCCAGTGAAGCGGTGAAGCGACCTCGCTGAATGTTTTTAAGGCAAGGCTAGATAAATTTTTGAACAGTAAAGGAATTAAGGGTTATGGTAAGTGGGCGGGTAAGTGGAGCTGAGTCTCAAAAAGATCAGCCATGATCTTATTAAATAGCGGGGCAGGCTCGAGGGGCCAGATGGCCTACTCCTGCTCCTAGTTCTTATATTGTTATGCGTATTCAATTCCCACCACTAGGTGAAATTACCATGAAGGTCTCAGCTTCACTTGAAGCATGGTGACCCTCACCATCAGTTGTCTCCCTTATGAGAGAGCAGGGCCAGCCTTTGCAGAAGCTCAACGAGGAAAGGCTCTTTCAGCCGTGGAATCCTGAGGATACTAGAGGCTGGATAAAAACCCTCTGGTTGTACAATTGACATGCTTTGTCTGTGGTTTGAACACCTTGACCAGTTTATGTATTAAATTGCTTTACCAAAGCACGAGGTCTGTCTAAAAGGATTTTCTTATGGGTGCACTGTGTGTTACCAAAATCTTGGGATGTGTTAAATGTTGTTCTGGACCCGCCTCATGTCCTATAAAAACTGAATGAGATGGTCTTCCACCTCGCTGTCTATCAGGTGCCATTCCCCACTGTCCCATCTGGTGCTGCACTGAGGAGAGGCATGGCTTTGGGAGTGTATCCAACTGGAGTGGGGACAAGGAGTTAGACCAGGGGATTTCCTTCACTAAATTTGGCTCTTCCCCCACCGAATTAACTGCTACTTGTCTGTCTGGTCCTTCAAGCGATGTGGACCATGAACTAGAACTCTTAGGGTGGTGCTAACTGCCTGGGTACCCTGCAATACTGTGCTGGACGTCCACAATTGTAGCATTTCTCTCTCACGGTGGGATGGACTGAGAGGCAGATCGCTCCAGTAATAACTCCCCCGTGTTTCAATTGCCCCGTTCATTCCTCCACAAAAAACTGGGTGTATTTTTCCTCTGCCTGATTTGGGGTGCACTGCTTCATGAATCCCTTTCTCCCAAGCCTGGGCCATCCTCCTTATCACCCGTTGTTCTGTCTGGGTGTTGTCTGTGGGATCAGAAATCTCGCTGGCTTTCCTCACTGCCTCAGTGCCATGTGAGACAAGAGCACGGGTCCAATTTGCCCTGTTTTTGTCCTGCAGTGTCAGCACAGTCCAATCGAGGTCACTGAAGACCCATGTGAACTGTGTCCTCAGGTGCCTGGCAAATGTAGTTGGGTGCTCTCCCTTTCTCTGCTTACACTTATTTAATCACTCTAAAGGGTCTCCCCTATTGTATCCTACAGCAGCTAGGATTACTATGTTCATGGCCTGCAGCACTCTCCACACCCCCTTCCCACATTTGGAGGATTGGGGAAGGCAGAATGGACGGCGGGGCACAGTCACATTCACATTCATTTTACCCCCTCGATATTGTCAAGCCCATGGAAAGCCCTTTTGTTGGTGAGTGCTGTCAGAAAACATACCGGGGTCAGCTATGGGCTCAGATACAAGTAACCCTTTTGCTATCTCTGCTGACTGTGCCCCTTTAAACCGGGCTGTATCAGTAATTGGATCATTGTTCTGGCTGTCCTGATGGATCGTGGTCAGTGCATTCATAAGGACAGGGTCAGATCCTGAGGCTGCCGAAGGATTCACCCTGGGGAGATGGGGGCTCCCCAGTGTTCACCATTCTCAGTGTATCTCCAGCTTGTTCTTCCATTTCCTCCCAGTCTATCCCATCATCACTGTTCCCATCTGATTCTATTGTCCCAAATACACAAACCATTCCCATTTGCACAGAGATAACAAGGTGTAGAGCTGGATGAACACAGCAGGCCAAGCAGCATCAGAGGAGCAGAAAGGCTGACATTTCGGGCCTAGACTCTTCTTCAGAAATGGGGAAGGGGAAGGGGGTTCTGAAATAAATAGGGAGAGAGGGGGAGGCGGATAGAAGATGGATAGAGGAGAAGATAGGTGGAGAGGAGACAGACCGGTCAAAGAGGTGGGGATGGAGCCAGTAAAGGTGTGTGTAGGTGGGGAGTTAGGGAGGGGATAGGTCAGTCCAGGGAGGATGGACAGGTCAAGGGGGCGGGATGAGTTTAGTAGGTAGGAGATGGGGGTGGGACTTGAGGTGGGAGGAGGGGATAGGTGGGAGGAAGGACAGGTTAGGGAGGTGGGGACAAGCTGGGCTGGTTTTGGGATGCGGTAGGGGGAGGGGAGATTTTGAAGCTTGTGAAGTCCACATTGATACCATTGGGCTGCAGGGTTCCCAAGCGGAATATGAGGTGCTGTTCCTGCAACCTTCGGGTGGCATCGTTGTGGCACTGCAGGAGGCCCAGGATGGACATGTCGTCTGAGGAACGGGAGGGGGAGTTGAAATGGTTCGCAACTGGGAGGTGCAGTTGTTTAGTGCGAACTGAGCGTAGGTGTTCCGCAAAGCGATCCCCAAGCCTCCGCTTGGTTTCCCCGACGTAGAGGAGGCCACAACGGGAACAGCGGATACAGTATACCACATTAGCAGATGTGCAGGTGAGCATCTGCTTGATGTGGAAAGTCTTCTTGGGGCCTGGGATGGGGGTGAGGGGAGAGGTGGAGGGGCAGGTGTAGCACTTCCTGCAGTTGCAGGGAAAAGTGCCGGATGTGGTGGGGCTGGAGGGGAGTGTGGAGCGGACAAGGGAGTCCCAGGGAGAGTGGTCCCTCCGGAAAGCAGATAAGGGTGGGGAGGGAAAATTGTCTTTGGTGGTGGGGTTGGATTGCAGATGGTGGAAGTGTCGGAGGATGATGCGTTGGATTCGGAGGTTGATCGGGTGGTACGTGAGGACGAGGGAGATTCTGTTTTGATTGTTATTGCGGGGAGGGGGTGTGAGGGATGAGTTGCGGGAAATGCAGGAGACACGGTCGAGGGCGTTCTTGACCACTGGGGGGGAGGGGAGGTTGCGGTCCTTGAAAAACGAGGACATCTGAGATGTTCGGGAGTGGACTGCCTCATCCTGGGAGCAGACTGCCTCATCCTGGGAGCAGATGCGGTGGAGGCAAAGGAATTGGGAATAGGGAATGGCATTTTTGCAGGAAGGTGTGTGGATGGAGGTGTATTCTAGGTAGCTGTGGGAGTCCGTGGGCTTGAAATGGATATCGGTTTCCAGGTGGTTGCCAGAGATGGAAACAGAGAGGTCCAGGAAGGAGAGAGAGGTATCAGAGATGGTCCAGGTGAACTTAAGGTTGGGGTGGAAGGTGTTGGTGAAGTGGATGAACTGTTAGAGCTCCTCCTGGGAGCACGAGGCGGAGCCGATACAGTCATCAATGTAACGGAGGAAGAGGTGGGGGTTAGGGCCAGTGTAGCTATGGAAGAGGGATTGTTCCACGTAACCTACAAAGAGGCAGGCATAGCTTGGGCCCATGCGGGTACCCATGGCCACCCCCTTTGTCCGTAGGAAGTGGGAGGAATTGAAAGAGAAGTTGTTGAGAGTGTGGACGAGTTTGGCTAAGCGGATGAGGGTGTCAGTGGAGGGGGACTGGTCGGGCCTGTGGGACAGGAAGAAGCGGAGGGCCTTTAGGCCATCTGCATG